CTGATTACCAAGATTTTGGAAAACAGCTTAAAAAGAATTACATATTCTGATTGCATAGAGTTAGAGTTATGGTTGCCACTGATGATGACTTAGACCATAGATGGGTATTTAAGATCAATAAACTTTATCTCACAGTAATATCCAGTCACAGTCAATGTGACAGTCATTGCTTGGTGTCTTGATGCACGCTCAATCATCCAGGTAAGGAAATCCCAAAAACTTGATTCTGTTCATCTGGACGTTGCATTTTCGTCCAGCTGAAAATCAACTTTTTGGGAGTCATTGCTCAGTGTTTGTCTTCTTTTCCATAATTAGATTTCATATATAAAACTGATAACTGCTGTGTATTCTGGGTCATAACGTAATCTACATGTTTTGATGCCAGAGTGTAATATCCCTTTAAGCCTGTGAAGGAGTGTTATTTTTGCAATGCTATATGGGACGGCTTGAAGCTGCGTGCTTGGGAGCAATGCAATATTAAAGTGGGGCATGCAGAGAAAGCAGTGGACTCAAAACTAGAATGGGGCAAAGTGCAAATCGGGAGTTGGCTGGATATGACTCAGCATGTGTGTTCACAGCTGGTTCTGTTTGAGCATTTTGTGGCTTTACAAATGTAAAAAAATGTTTAAAAACTTGTTCACATGGAGCCAAAAATGGTGGGCTGTTTGCTGAACTGTGTATCTGTGACCCAGGGGAGGGAATGGGACCGGCACGAGTGCTGTAAATCCTGCTTGTTTATTTCTGGGTTAACATATGTATATATAAAATATGATGCCAAAGAAGGTTAAAATACTCCGGACTATATTTGATTTGCCAGCTTAGAAGCAATTGCCACTGCAACCCAAAATACATGAAAAGCTGATGTATTTTGCTTGGTTTGATGAGCATTTGCTTCTTTAAAACAACAATTTAAAAAGTTTCAAGCATGCATGGATGGCAGTGTCATTGCTGTGGTTTTATTCTATTTTACTCATTATTACAGGATTTACTCTCTTTTATTAATATACTGTCTATTTGAAATACACAACCATGGAAAACAACCACTAATGTTTAGATTTGCTACTTGCTATGTGAAAAAAAATTCCAATTTAAATTTAAAAAATATACATCTTAACATAAATGATCACCTAGACAAGAGATTCATGTTTGCAAATGATAAACTGCTAGAGCTAACTGCTCTAGGATTCAAGTAAATTCAAGTAAATGTATTTGATTGAAATGTATTATAAGTGGTGTACTGAGACCTGCTTAGAGAAACATGATCATACATGGCTAGCTACTCCAGGGCTAAAATTTGGCTGATGTTTGCATATAACCTCGTAATGTCATCTGCTACCCTGTCACCCTAACTCAGGCGTCTTACCCACGGAAAGGACGTGGTGACATGAAAACCCACTTGGACAGGCCGTTGGTGGTGAACCCACAGGACAACCGCAATAATAACACCAACAAGACCCAACCTGGAGAACTGCCACTTGACCAGGAGTACCGGCGCCAGGACATAGATCACTGCCGCCGTGCCGCCCACTGCTATCACTACGACCGCGATCACCATCAGAAACCCTTTGGGCAAGACAGCAGAGAGACAAGCCAGCTATCAGAGACCCGTATGGAGCACGGCTTCAGCTGCACATCTCTGGGTAACGTGGAGGCGAGCGTAGAGGGCCGTCCAGGGGAGGAGAGGCACAGCCACCGGAGCCATCGGGGCCATCGGCACCGGAACAGGGAAGGCCGTGAAGCTCGCAGCGTTTCCCCCCACCAGAGTGAGGCAGGAGAAGGACATAATGAGCACAGGAGGGCCAGGCAGCACCGCAGGGCAGCAAGAGAAGGAGAAGAAGGCAGGCGACACCGATCCAGGGGGAAAGAAGGAGAGGGGGGGAAAATCGTGGAAGGAGAAGGGCGGAGAGCAAGACGACATCGACATGGCAACCATGATAAGAGCAAAGGGCATTGCAGAAGGTAAGGAAAGTCTCGAATTAAATCCTGTCAGTCATTAATACTCAGTATAGGTTGTTGTACTGGTGAATACAGTGGTTAGAAATGACCTAACAACCAAAATTATTGCAAACGTTTTCAATGAACTTGCTATCGCTGTGCCTTTAAAGTAGTCACTTCCATCTTACATACAGTCTTAGATGGCTAATGGCTACAACCTACAGCCATTAAAGATAATATTTAAAACGCTGTCTGTAAATGGTAAATGGCCTGTATTTGTATAGCGCTTTACTAGTCCCTAAGGACCCCAAAGTGCTTTACACATCCAGTCATCCACACATTCACACACTGGTGATGGCAAGCTACATTGTAGCC